GCAAAGCACTTCCCCTGCCCTAGAATCAAACAAGTCTTTCCAGTGGCATTTGTCTTAACTGTATTTGGGGAAACCAGCTACATTAAGAATTTCCAGTGTGCATCTACTCTTCATGCAAGGCCCTCTCACAGTATGTAACAGTCAGTGGCTACACCATTTCTCCCTCTGTTGCCTCTTGTTACACTTGCCAGAGTATTTTGTGTTTGTATTTCAGCTTTGACATTCATCTTTAAATTTCTGCCTGTGCTGGAATTTCTTGGCTCATACAAGTGAAATGCTAGTTCTTCTCTAGCTGCTCCTGCTATGAAAAACATCTTGCTAGAAACAGAAATTTTTTTGAGGATAATCATTTTACAAAATGTACTGTTGCTTCATACCAAAACATCTGGAAAGGTTGAGATTAAGCTTTCTTCAGCTGCAAACTATCATCAGTCTTCGTATCATCCCACACACACACTGAAGGTGTTGGATGAACTACTGTCTTTGGCAACAAAGATAACAGAAATCAGCTAAATTGCTGAAAAGCAGAGCATCATCATTTTAAAAATCAGGCAAAATATGTGTCTTCTACCAAAATGCTCCTGAGTAACAACCGACTATTATAACTTAGTGTATCAATTTTTGTCTATTAGAAAGCTTAGTTCACACAAAATTTTGCTGATAAAATGTTTATATTACAATAAATACTACAACCTATTGTGAAGAAATCATTGAAGAAATGTGTCTTTAATGTAACTTGACACCTTTACACTTATGCAGAAGTTACATTTTCACCTGTAATACCCATTGGCTAAATATGAGCAACAGTTAGTATGGTTGATCCTCTTAATATTTATCTTGTTTTCATTCTGATCCTCTTTGATGGGCTGGAAGTGTTCCAGTCTATAGAACAACAGAGACTACCACAGACTACAACCTGACCCAACCACAAGGTATACTGAGGGAAGCTGGTAAGTTCATAGGAAAACGTGTGTTCACACAGAATATACTGCAATTACAGGAAATACTAGCTGTCAAGATAATAATTTCCTGGCATCACAGCTTTGTCTGATAGTTTTTCAGGTAAGGTATAGAAAGAAAATAATATGTATACACACAGAACAAGCTTCCCATTCTTGGCACAGGTACAGGTTTACTGTAGTGTGACTAACATGGAACCAACAGTATAAAATAATCATAATTTAAATCCCATTATTAATATAAGAGCTTAACAGAGTGACAAGAGATCTGATTCTACAGTGTCAAAGTACTATGGGTTCCCTCTCATCTTTACCTTGTACCCTAAGCAGTGGGAAGGAAGGGACAGTCACTGAGATCTATGAATGTAATTCTCCAATATGTAAAAAGTCTCAAGCAAAAGGGCCCTCAATGATCCCATAATATCACAAGGAAAGCTATCTTGTATCTACAGAGAAAGAAAATGAGAATTGCTTTTCATCCCCAGCTATGTCCCTGTATTACAATAGTGGACACTGTGGACAGAGAGAGCGGATAAGCATTCCTCAGAATGGCAGAAAGAATAAAACAATCACTTTATGTTCTTATGCAAAGACATTATTTTAAATCCTTGATGTAGTCTTCTTGCAAAACAATCCATCTAAAGCTGTTAATAATTTCGTAAGATAAAAGAAAAAAGAGTAACAGAAAGACTAGTTTCAGGTATTGTGGCACAGTCAAATTTTAGAATAGTAACAATTAAAACAAAAATAACACTTTAAGCAGCAAAATGTACATGTGTGTCCTACCCACAGGGAATCTTTACTTTATAAGAAGAATTAAATAAGTAATATATTTTTCCTGTGAAAAAAGGATGCCTTTTTCATCTTGATACACAAGAATTTCTACTTTAAGTCAGTAAGCCATTTTCTGCCTTCTCTGTCAGTAGAAAGAATTAGTCCCACAAGAATTCAGCTTCAAGTCTGAACATCAAAGCCTAATGGCTGTAATTACTAGTGTCCTCTTTCCACATCCCCTCCAATGGAGGGGAGTGCCTGGTCTCCCTGGTGCATGTACCCATGAAAGCAACAGTGTATACATCAACTATGAGGAGAATTCTCAACTCCAGTCTAACCTCCAGCCTGTCCCACAGGCTGGGCATCCTTCTCTCCTGTGTACACTTCCCACTGCCCCATGGTAATTCCTGCAAAATGAAGCATTAACAAGCCATTTACAAATACTCCCTGCAGTCTTACCTAATTGATTAGGTATTAATATTGGTTTGTATTGCCTCATGTTTCATACAGAAAGAGGAATTTAATCACCTCAAGCTCCCAAAAGCTATATAAAAAATGCAGACCATTTCAAAGAACCCCAGAGAATCCTTGCTTAAGGGGAGATTTAAGTAACAGTAAGGCAGGCTGTGTAATGATAAATGCTCTGTGAAGTTTAGAATTAAGAGGTGATACTCAGTTCACAGGCATTCTCTTTGTGACTGTTTCCTAAAACAGACATGTTTTATTTTACACCCTTTTGTTTTCTGTTACTTAATGACTGGCATTTTTCCTATGCACACTAGAAAAAAAGAATTAAGATGTTATTAAGCTGGGCCACGGATCATTACAACCACTACAAGAAACCACATTATTCTCCTTTCACTCCTCACATTTTCATACTTGTAAAAGCCAGTAGATGCCATCAGAGTAGCTATAACTTTATCAAATCAACTGAGTAAACTCAGACAGAAATTTAAATTTTAATAGAGAAAAAGCCATTTGTTTGGACTTATTTTTTACTTTTTCTTGCTACACTTTCCTCTGAGAACATTACGTGGAACAATCTACAAGAATGAGATCAGTATCCACTTCAAATGTTTGTCTCATTAGCACAAGAAAACAAGCAATATTTTAATGGATGAAACAGGTTTCTAAACCAGATTTTATGCTCTTGCTTTAGTCTTTACATTCGATCATAACCTTAGATAAACAGGTTGACTTACTCTTCCTTTTAGGGTACATGCTTTAACACAGTGATTTTGAAACCTGAATTTCTTTTACATTTTAAGGTCTACTTTAATTTCATGAGTAATCATACTCTACTGAATGAATCCACTTCGGAGAGTGAAATAATACCTAGCAAGATAGAAAGGACCTGTGCTTTCTCGTGCGAGTAACAGGATGTTGCCAATTAGTAAGATATAAAAGCCAGTAGCAGATTAGTACCAGAGGGAGTAAGGAAATGACAAGTTCTCTGCCTTTCAGAGGGGTTACCTGCCGTGCTTTATCCATCTCCTTTCAGGGTTGTAGCCCAGCTGTTATCTCCATACAGTTTATTGAACAAAGTTTAAGATCATGCTCACTACATTCAGAAATACTTCCCCCATTATAGTTAAAACTCTCAGAACTTCAAATACAAATGTATTTATGGACTGATTTCAGACAGCACAAAGCTACTTTTCCGGTGCTGTTAACACAATGGGATAAGTTTCCTCATTTCCCACAGTGATTTCTAAACATAAAATACCATTTAAAAACCACACAGACATGCAAAAACCCACCACTGACCAAAGTAAACTCACACCTGAACAGGGGTTAACATGATTAGTAAGACCTGAACGTTCCTCAAAATGGAAGTAGCTCTATAAATAGTACAGCAGTTAATGGATGGCGGCCCATCAACACATTGACAAATAGCGTTAAGAGCTCTGTAAGAGAAATCAGCCACCCCTTTAAGGTACAATATAAAGCACATACTGCTGTAGGTAGAGTCTGAAACTACCAGTCAACCTGTATCTATCATAAACAAAATACATTAGACATGTTCATACCACATTGTCATGGATTCTACTGATTAAAAGAGTATGAGGCAGCTGATAGATACAAAATTTCTGCCTGTACATCAAGACCTCAGTGATCTTCACAGCAAAAGCCAACATGCATTAAGAAAACAAACACATACATCAAAAAAACCAACACAGATTTGTTTAACAGCCTACCAGTAAGTAATCATACTAAAGCATGAGGAGGTACCTGAATAAATAAAGCAAAGTACATTTTATAAATGATCTACACAAAATAATCTTTCCTTCCAAGTGCCCGCCTCTAAGAGTCCACTGGGGACATTCACAAGAGTCCTTAGTTTATAAAACTGTCAGCAAAACAACACCTTTCATTTCTATGCCTTTGGGTTTTTCTTGTATTTGTTTTCTGTTGCCTACTCCATCTTTATCAGAAGCCTAACAGGAAGATAAACCGGCTTGAGAACAGCCACTGAGAGAAAAATATAATAAGTATTCAGAAAAAACACAAAAGAGATGTTTTCTATGAAACATTTTAGAATTGAAATCTTTCTTTTCCATTTCCATTCAATGTTGTAAGTAGGTCACGGATGCTGCATGCCCCATGTCAGCACCTGAGAGCTGCACACAACTATTCACCATTCCACTATCGAGACAAATAAATGCCTTCTTCTTCAAGAGCAAATCAAAATCAGCTAGTTTTCCAGTTGTTTACTGGAATATGCTGATTTGGTGAAATTGAAATGTCTTATCAAAATTGGTCAGTTTGAACAAAACTTATCTCCATTTTCTTTCAGATTCTTATGTTTCTTAGATTCAGAATGCTCTGCTCTCTAGAAAGGGCAGTTCACAATAGAACTGCTCCACCTCTACCCCAGGGGTGGCTCAGCCCACCATACTTTTGTCTGCCCTTGAAGGAGAATTTCTCTGGGCTTATTCATGAGAATATTCAAAACACCTCAACCATGTAAGACCAAAAGCAAAAGCCATAAATTAATTCTTCTTTTAGGAAGCTCTAATGAGAATGCAGTAATTTATACCATCCTACTGTAGCCTGCACAAACACATTCAGAACTACATAAAGGCCTAAAGCTATACCTGTCACTTCACCTTTTTCAACATGAGCACCCATCAGCCTTGTGCACCAATCAACCTTGTGCAGTGATGGAAACTGAAGTCACTGAGGTGCAATGGTTGGAAAAACATAATACTGTAGTCACAAATGCCATCTGAACTGCTATTAAAAATATGGAACAATTTCTCTTACCAGTTTGTGGGTGAGCTGAATGGTAATAAGAGGAGATCCTGACAGACTGTGGGACAGCTTGGGTAGAGGTTCCACTTTGACAGAGATCAGGTAACTCGCTGCTGAGATCATATAACCTTTGTAGGCAGTAGCTTCAGCAATCCTTGGGAAGAAACAAATATATTAAGGAAATATAACAACCACATTTTTCTAGTTCACCCACACCACCACTAACACAGAACCTCCCTTTTCCTTTCAAGTCAATGAATTTCCAGCAAAATCTGGCACCAAAAGATATTACAGGACTAGAAGCAACAGCAAAAAAGTATAGGGAACATCTTTAGACATTAGGGCACTTGAAGTTGTAAGTATTCCTTCCTCCTACTCCTCTTTTCCAAAGATTTATAAGCCTTGCTGAAAGTCCTTTTGATAATTAGGAAGAATCCTATGAAGTAAGGGATGTAAGAAAAAACTAAGAAAAACAACTGAAGTGAGAAGAAAACTTGAAGGGGTTTCATGCTGTCTAATTAAACATACATATTAGTGTCTAAGACACATAAACTCATATATAAAGCATATAAACATATATTTATATATATACACACATATTCCTATGTATATAAACATATACATAGGAATATATTTAGAAATATTTTACAGCTTTACTTTGATACAATGATTATGTCCAATTCGGTTCATTAGTGAGTAAGTCAGGTCACAAAACAAACGGCTAAACTAATTGTCCAGGTAATGCTTTTTTTCTAGGCTAAAGTAATTTTGCAGTACATAAGGACCCTTTTATTTCTGCTTTCAGCTTAAACTTATGACTTTGGCATTTTTGTACATTTGGGAGTAACTAAGATCCATCTGGCTGTAGGACAAAATTTTTTACACTATTAGTAACAAACTGCAGAAGTAAAATGGTCACCGTCATCTATCTCTTGAGTATGTGAATGAATGGTATTTACTACGAGAAATATAAGCCATGGCAAATCAACCATGAGCATGTGTTTTCAAACATAACACACCACTGGGAATAATCAGTTTGCAAATCACATTAAAAACCACCTTATTTACATCTGCCACCACTTTGCAATTGTTTCTTATTTTCCTCTCAGAAAAAATAAGGTAGTCATGTCAAACATTAAAATAACTTCATCCAGTTCCTCAGCAAGGTAAAATAAAACAGAACTCATTCAGCACAAACCCAAGCACCAGTTCTTAGTTCTGACACATCAGTATCAGAAACCCAGTAACCAGCATGTGAATTGAATTTGTTCATCTGAGTGCAGAATTTGGTACTGCAAACTTAAGCTGAAAAGTTTAGGTATATATAGAAGGATTCAATGTTAAGTATATGTAGAAGAAAGGAAGGCAATCCCTGACAGCTGAGATGCTGCATCTTTCCTTCTACTGTCATAAAAACCACAGAAAAAGTCAAGAGAGTGGAAAAGACTGAAAGCGTAAACTAATATACACACCCCAGTGAAGATCACATAAAAACATTAAGTAATACTAACTTGAAAATGTAAGGATTTACATGAATGCCCTTGCAAAATTCCCTGGGAAACTCCATTGGTGAGAGGTATACAGCTTTGCATTTACTTTATCTTACACGCTAATGATTTCATTGATGCAGCATCTAAAACAAAAGGTCTTTAAAGCATTGCCTGGCCTCTTGTTATAAATTTACATCACAGGTTTCTAGGATTAGTGTTCAGATTTTATCTAAAAAGGGATGTTATGTTTTCTTGCCTGTTTCATTTAAGTGCTTTATCTTTACATGCGTCAGGAGAAAAGATGTAATTTCCTTTTATGAGACAGATTAAAATTATGAAATTCTAATACCAGATCTGATGAATGGAAGAAGACAGAGAAAGACAAACATGTCACTATGTGAATCTATTTTATTACAACATAAAACAGAATATCTACTGTAAGCTTTCATCGCTCCCTAGTTAATGACTACACGTCCTCAGTATTGCAGAATCAGGATTATGGCTCTTAATTTATTTATAGTTGATAATGATATGACTGTTATAAAGGTATATCAGTAAGGAAATAAACAAGCTGTTACAGCATGAGAGGTCTGAAGTACTTACTTGGTATCCATAGGGTTGATATTATGAAAGAAATAATGCATATTATGGTAAAGCAGGCCAACAATGGTAATCCAAGCTGTGAAAAAGGAACAGGGGTTATTCCTCAGAGCAACCGTTTAAGCAAGAGACAATTCTCTCCTAGACCTGAAACTCTGTGTTAAGAACCCTGACTCCTATAGATGTTCATGTGTTTCCTTTAGCAGATTTCTGATGATTCTTTCAAATGAAAAAGTATTAATATCTCGCAGTACAGCACAGGAGACTTCAAAAGCACAACAGAAGGATGCCTGCTCTGTGGAACTATACTTCAAAAATAAGTTGTTAATCAGTTGTCAATTATTAATTCCCACACAGCACTAGAAAGGGTCGCTTGACATACCAGAGTATGTCTCAATGGTAGCTACAGCAGTCTCAAAGCTACTTTGCAACCACCTACATTAACTGGCAGTTTATGAAACTCAAACGTGGGTGACCAATTTCCACTATGGTCGTCTATTTGCTGCCTGCATTCCAAATATTTATGGGTTCTCCAGCATCCAAGTGAAGAGACAGACATGTATTTTCTAAGTGTCAGCCACACAGACGTCTTTTACTATCCCTGTTGCTGGGTTCCAAGTATTTATAGTGTCGACTATTTAAAGTGGAATTAATTTTTAGGTTAGCTCATTCAGACAGTGCAGAAGTGTGGCCTGAGGGCTGAAAGTAATCACAAGTGAGCTTTAGCTGGGAGAAAGAGTTAAAATTTAATGGGCTAGCTCATTTCAGGATACCAAGCACGATTATGTTCTGAAGGAAACTTTAAGTGGGAAAGAAAAAAAAAAGTCCTCTCACATGCTATTTTTGACATTACAAGTTGGTTTACCATTATAGTTACTGCAGCCTCAAAGCACCTGCAGTGAAGTCTCCAGCCAGAGCCCCCTGCCAGTGCTAAGAAACAAGGGTGCCACCACAAATCAGGTAGACAGTTCAGTAATTATTAGAGTATTTCTCACTGCAGGTTATTTGCAACTGACTTTGCACTTTCTGAATAAGGACCAAGTTCCCTTCAACACAGGAAACTGCAGAAAGGTCTCTGCAGTGTAAATTCCATGGGCTGGAATTTAGGGCATATAAATCAGATTGTCAAAGATTTGAGGATGCAAGTAGATGCTTTTCTTTAATAGGCTCCTTCAATCCCTGATTAAAACACAGATAATTAGCTTCAAACATTGTTATCTTAGGGTGTTGACTAAAGCTTCCAATTTTTGCCATATCTTGATTTTGAGATTATTAAATTTTAGCTGAAGTATGGACTTCCAAGTTCTGCTTTTTGCCTTGACTGTACTTTACATCTTTATTTCTGTAGCTGCTGTTGGTTAAACCTGTCATTTTATAGTTTAATCTCATACAACATTTTAAGAGTGATTTTGCATGAAGGGGTAAGTAATACCTGAGCTGACACCTTGGAATTTCTGTAAAATAACCAGTTCAGATGATGAAAAAAGTGGGGTTTTTTCTGAAATTATGGCTTCTCTGCTGTAAAAAGATGTCAAAATTAAACAGCTTCAGTATCTGTGGCCCAGCTCTATTATTCAAGATTAACTCAAGTAATATGAAAATTCTACCACATCAATCATTCATTCACATGACAGGACAGCAGCTGCTTTTTCCTAGCCAGTATGATCAACAGCAATCTGATTAGTAACTTGGAAAAAACAAAGCAAGCCAAATCCTGCTTTCTAGCAAAATTATTTTTGGATACCCTGTTTGCATGACTCCGTTCCTCCCTCTAAATCCTCCCCTTACCTTTTTCATGAAAAGCTTCACTGGGAATGGAAATATAACTCTGTCCTTGAGATGGAAATCGATAGTGGGACAAATTCAGTATCTGAGGATACATCTTGATCAAGGTGTAATCTGTGTGATAGCCCAAACAAAAATATGATTAAATACATAGCCTCTACAACCTACTTGACTATTTAACTAGATTTCTCTAATAGCTATTACAGTGGCCTGAATTTAAAACCCCAGATATTTTTGGAAAATAAAGTAAATTCCCCAGGTATACAACTGCCTTTTATATCCAGCTCCTTTATGACAGAGGTGGTAAGCACACTGTTAATATACCATGGATCACTTCACCCATGCTCAAATACCAAGCTTACCAGGGCAAGCAAAGCAGATTGATAACACACTCTTCCACTGACATTTGAAGACATTATTTCAGACCTCCACTGCTCCATTTAAGAATGCCAGTATTCAAGACAGTACATACCATACATAAATTGTATTAGTGAGTGCTCAGGTTATTTGCCCCGTCACACAGGTCCAAACAAGTCAGAGCAGAATGCCAGGACAGATAAATTACCTTTGCTACCTGTAGCATCCAAAGACACAGATGAAACTAGGGTGCTAGGATGCTAAAAAGCAGTAAAATAAAACTATCCTAAAAGGTCAAAACTATTCCTACTATTTGCAATCTCTTGCAGAAACATTCAAAATTAAGATTTTTTTAGCATTCAGATTATCTGCAGCTTCAGAATTCTGCATAGGAGCTCTAGGTCCTTTAACTGCCTATAGTAGAGTATTACTAGATTGACTTAATAGAATTTATGTTCTAAGTCCCTCCCCAGTAACCTCAAGGAAGTTCAAGAACAGTCAGAGCAGATTACCTGTAGACTAACTGCACAGTCATATTTCTACAACTGAAACACTGTTTTGTATTCAAAACAGGAAATTATGTGTTTCCATTTCCTCCTTAACATTGGGAAAAGGACGGGCTATGAAGCACAGAAGCATTTAGGACATTCACACAGCCCAGAGAGAACTTTCTTGCTAAATCCTACCTGCCACAGATGATGTGCCCTCAAGAGTTGAAGGTAAAGAGTTTTCATCCAGATTGCAAGTCATATGAGCCATCACACTGTCAATAGTTTGAATTAGACTTCCAAATATGTAAGAGGTCTGTAGGAAAAAGAAACAGGCGGCTTTACAGCAAAAGAAGATGCAGTTCATAGCACAAAATATGAAGATGCCACGTTGAATTCCAGTGTGCGCCATCACTCAACCATCCCAAGTCAAATATGACTTTCTCCACAACCTTTTCCACATAAATTGCCCCCAGTATAAAGCCAGTTCCCAAGAATTTTAGGCTAAAAAGCTAAGCCAATTAGCTATCTTTTGGTCTTAAAGCATTTTAGGCTTCAGTGAGACATTGATTTATTTTAGTCTCTCCCTGTCAGTTTAAAAGGTCTCTGTTCTGAAGTCTGTGCTCCTTTAAGACTGAAAAAAAAAAAAAAATCTCAGGAAATTCCTGGGATCCTCCTGTGACTATTTCTCTGCACTCCAAAAGGCACACTAGAAGAGAAAGAACACTGATACAAACTAGTTTTCCTTGTATTAGTTTTAATCTCTTTCAAAGGTTTAATTCACTACACAGGCAAGCACTACCACACATTTCATATGCATTGAAAATATTAATCTATCAAGCAAATATAAACTTTTAAATACCTCATTTCAGTGCTAAAAAAGGAGTGACCAAACACTTCAGCAACAATATCTGTTCTATTATATATATATAATTGTTTCATTTATTCTGAAATATGTGGAAACAGAAGCAGATAAAGTTCCCTTATTTTAACTCTCAAAAATGTATTGTAAAAGAAAATGACATAATTGTTTTGTCTGTGTTTCTTTACTGAAAATATGAAAGTAACATGTGAGAAAATAATTCAGTCAGACTGCTAAAAAAGTCCTAACAAGACTAATAATGCAGGCAAACAGTTTCATTACTATCCATGTGAAATTATGCAGCTGAACTAACCTACAAGTATAAGACTATTTGTCTTACCTCTGGTACATCACTCCAGTTGGGCAATAACATGAAGTCTTCTATGGCTTTTAAAAATGCCTAAAAAAATAAACAAAACTATATTAATTTGACTATTTATTTATCAACTACATCTCCTGGTAAAGGTCAAAGGCAGGTCTCTGCTATGAATTTCTTAGGTTTAAGATTATAATTCCATTTTGATTCAAGTCACAGCTTCTTCTCCACTTGACAGCACTCCTGTGTTCTGTACAGTGACATTTTAAAGTAATAATTTATTTATTCGAAGTAACACCACTATGAAGCTCCCAAATTGCAATCACTAAACTACAGCCAAGGTGACAACACTGGAACTAAGACTAAAATGGGAGAATAATCTCACTTTATCTAAATTTATATGACATCAATACTTCTTTCAGCCTTAGAGAAGCAGATATATCAACACCATTTGGTGTATATCTGGGTCACATCACTTGTGCAATTTATTATCTGAACTTTTGCATTTTAACATTGGTTTAGCGATCCAGATCTGTCATAGTGGGCTTTGTTGAAGTGCTCAACGTGTCCTAAGAGGTCTCGCTGCTGAAGACAAGCAGAAGGAGAAGAGAGAGCACACACAAAAAAAACCAAAACAAAAAATAGAAAAAACCCCCACCCAAAACACAAACCCCACATCTCCTGCTTAAACTTCTCTGTTAAAATGCCTTAAAACCATCAATTAAATATATAAAAGTTCCATTAAGAAACACAGAAGAAAGCTCCAAGAGTTTTCTGAGCATGATTTTACAAACTGTAATATATAGGGCAGTACTAGAGCTTTACTACGTGAGCTTACTTTTGGGCAGCACAAACCATGCAGCCCCTCTCAAACATTCAGTATGGAATTCTACCTGGCATGTACAGAAGTTATTCAAAACCTAGAACCCAGCCCAGACTGCCCAGAGCATTCAGTATCTCTTTTCAGGTCATAGCATCCTGAGTTACTCCGAAAGAGATGTGTTAGACACTGGAAAGGGGGAAAGCAGGAGCATGGGAGCTATAGAGCAAAGCAGCATTATTACAGAAAACACATGACATTTATCAGAAGCAATGCATAATGAAAATGTGTCAGCAATCAGAAAGTTTACTGCATATCACTTAAATCTTCTCGTGCTGTGAGGCATATGACAATCAGAACAGATAACTTTACCGAAAACAGCATGTCTGCTCAGTGTCTGTCTTTCAGGGAATTAGCTGCAGACAATGCAAAGCCTAACCATCAGTCAGACAAATGACAGAGTCTGTATGTATGATCAGAACTCTCTTGTCTTTACTTCCCAAAATAGCTTTGCTAAAGATAATCACGTCCCACATTTCTGTCTGCAAATCACTTTCACGGCACACAAAGCAGCATCAGATAGCTTGGAAGAGCAACAAAATGGCAACTGAAATGATGTGGGAAACAGGTACGATATGTGACAGGATGATGCTCCATTTTCAATTTAGAGCCCCCACAAAATTTTCAGCAAAACAAAGGAAACAATGTATTAGAGCTTTTTAGAAGGGTTTTTGCAACATATCTAACTGATCCATGAAATCCAAGCTTTACAGTTTGCAAATGCTAAGCTTTTAACACAAACTATCAATTGCTGTCCGTGTAGTTTTCAAAAGAACTTATTTATATTGTTTGCCTGAGTAAATAATCCTTGTCACCGTGGTGTTACCACAGGCTTAAAGGAACAATCACCAGTGAGGCCAGAGCTGATTATTGTAATAATAGGTTTCTAGCCTGCTGAAATCAGGGAATTAGATGCCCATCCTTTTACAGAAGGCTAACTTTACCTTAGCAGAAAACTGACCTCTTGTCCTCAGCTCAGACTGCTGAAAACACCTTCCCCATGCACACACTCTGTGGATTAGTTTAAACAAGAATAAATTAACTCAGTTAAGCTTGGGACCTTATCTCACCAGGAACCAGTTTAAGCAGAGATCTGAAATATGTCTGCACAGGAGTCCTGGCTGTGACTGGAACCCTGTACAAGATAAAGCTGTTCTCTCACAAAAGCTAGGAACACCACTGGCACAGACAGGCACTCTCCCACAGCTTCTCACCTCCAGACCTGGCAGAGCAGGATGTGTGCCTCTGACCCCTAGAGTTCAGAAAAAAGAGTGTACGACCTGGTGAAAAAGAAACCAGAGGAGAGGCACGACTTGCCCTCTGCGCTACTACAGAAGCCATAAATGCCAACAGAAGGTTGGGCAGACAGCAGTAATTGGTAAATTTTCACCTAAGGTTAAAGTGAATCAAAAAGATAAGGTGAATCAAAAAAAGAAAGTGAATCAAAAAGATAAGATAGATAAGTGATAAGAAAGTGAATCAAAAAGATAAGAAGTTAGAAGATTATACTTGGGCAGGTAACCAGGGCCAGATTGAAACAGCCACAACCAGAAGGGTCCCTACATCTGATTTATTTAGTTTGCTATCAGCTTATGTATGCCTCCTTGTTGCTTCTGTCACTGCTCTGACTACAGTGTCTTGCAGAAATAGGCCCAAATGCATTAGGTAATATCGCCAAGAACCAATGAGACCTTTGAACTATTTTCTCTGGTTGAAATTCACCTTCTGCTACTCCTTAAAATAGCTCCTGCTTTTTTCGCATGTATTTTCTGCAAGTGCCAAAAACTTCCAAAGCTGCAGTTGAAATTCCAGCTTTTGGAGAAAATTCAGGGTTATCTGGCTCCACACACAGGTGTGAAAAAACACTTACCTCTGTTAGGCTCAGAGCAGTACTTTCTGACAAGGATTTGTTGGGCAAGCTGAAGGATATGTTCTCCAGGTAGGCCAGCATGGTGTCAGGGGAGCGGAAGTTCCCTCTCTCCTCAGTGAGATTTGTTATGATGGGACGATAGGCATTTGTAGAGAGCTACAGGAGAGAGACAACTCATCAGAAATTATTCTATATGGAGGTGGTTAATTGTTTTAGCCCAGAAGGGAGTTTGAAGCATAGCAGACTGCTGTGGAAGAGGATGATCTAGGAGGCTACAGAAACCAAGCGACAAGGAAAGCACACAGATAAACAGACAGACAGGATAAACAAGCAAAATTTAATATTTCTATTAGCAATTCAGGTCCTCTCTGCTATGGTTTCCTGAAGGCCTCTGTGAGCAAGAAAAAAACTAATAGAACTTTGACACTGCAGATAGCAATAAAGAGAAAATACACTGCAACAGCTAATAGCACATAGGTTGATCACAGCTAATTGTATTCTGCATATGAAAAATTAACTTTAACAGTTTTCATTACACATTTACTGGACAGATAAAAACAAATTTTGTTATGTGGTGAGATTTTTTTTTTCTCATTTTAAAGGAAACAAGAGGAAACATTCACAACATGTTTTTGAATGTCCTGTATCTTCAAAGACCAATGAAACACTTCTGAAATTTTAATTTTTTTCTATTATATAAATACAAATATTTTGTAATATAGACAATATTTTTAACAATTAATTCCCTTTGTCTTACATTAAGAGTTCTGTTCTGTACTGACTGTGCCCACAGTCACTAAAGGTTCTCCCTATGCATATCTGGAAGTATTCATAGCTGGATACTAAAATAAGTGCCATTAATGAAAATGGTTAAGTGAGGAGGCTCTGTAAAATACACACATTCGGACAGTATAGAAAAGAATTCTGAGGACTGTTTTACCACAGGTTTTGTAGTGGTTGTCATCACAGACCATGGAAGTGTTGAAGAAAGCAGAACTTGCACACCTGCGGAAAACACATACACAAATGCGAGTGTTAATAAATCTGATATGTGCTGTCCCATGTATTTTGCTTAAGTGTGGTATCATAGCTACACAGGCTTGTTTAAAGCATTTTGTGTAGTGATTCATCAGTTTTACACTTATTTTAAACACTTAGACCTTTGTTTGCAAACAGGAAATTTCAAGTGTTGTATCTCAATGAAAAGGGACATCTGTACAATTGAAACATTGGCATTCATCTTCCTTTGCTAGCTCTTCCCCCAATATTTATGCAAAATATTTAGGGAAAATAAAAAAGAAAAATCTTGCCTCTTATAATTTGTAGGCATCTCTGACAATTTCATACATGACCTTGCTGTATTTCTATATATGAGAAACTGGGATTGGAACATACAGACACCATAAAAGATGTGACTCCGGTCTCAGCTATGATCTCCAAATGTTAATGCTTACTTACATCTTAAGCCTAAATTGCCTAAGTGCCAAATAAAAATCACACCCATGATTAGAAAAACATTTCTACATTAAGAAAAAAAGATAACCTATAAAAACTATTCAAAGCCAACAGCAACACTTTGATTGCTTGCAGCAAAACTAAGGCACCCTCAAATCAAATAATACAGGTACCAATGGTGGTATACTAAAGCTTTTGGGGCATGCCAGTTTTGCATAGGGCAAGTAAATGGTCAAAACACAACCTCCCTTAGCAGTCTGAGCATGTTATAGTTAATGTCTCTGTCATGCGTCTTAAGTTGATTTCAAGCAACAGTGAGGTCACTATTAATCAGATAATAATCAACAATATTAACCAGATAGCTTTACTAATCAATGTTACATAATAGCACAATATCCCTAGAAAATTACTACATGAACATGTCATAAATGATCTGTCACTGCAAAAAGAATAAACTCTATTTGGGTGGTTTCCAGTTGTTCCACTTTAATAATACCAATTCATTTCCATGCAAAGGGATTTAATTGGTCTTTGTGAGAGAGGAATTAAAATTTTCTTGTATTCTATGTCTTACCAAGGATTTATATTTGCCACAAGTATGCTATTTCAGCACAATAAACCAGAAGTTGCATACACAGGACACATTTTTCTCATGTGGAGCATGATTACCCATCCTTTTAAAAAACAGGCTGTCCTATTAAGTTTCTGATGTCAAACCACCTAAGTCCAGCTTCAGTTGTGCTTTAAGTCCTCCAAAGTCAGTAAGCAGATACCAAGAATAACTTCTATTTGCCATTGTATTGTAATATTCACTTAACTTCATTCCTCGAATTGGAAATCTTGTGAGATCTGAACAACCCACTACTTGGAAGGAAAGAGTAAAAAATTCAACATTCGACATTTCTCAAGTGTTCCAAATCACCTGAACACTTTCAAGTAATATTGGCTTGAAATTCATCACACTTAGAGAAACACCTGGTATCCCTTTATGTTTTAATTCCTAAGCTTGTAGAAAACACACATCAAGCTTTGTTTTCCATTAAGCAGCTAACAATTTATTTTTCATAGAAAACTTATAGTTCCAGATGACCCTAAAAAGCTGTAAACTAGAGATGTAAGAAAAAAAAACAAACCCCAAACCCAAACAGTCACCCCCTCCCCACGTTATGCAACTTGCAGGATACTCACAAAATCTCACAGCATGAACGTCTGAATGTATAAATCAGTGAGTTTGCAATACAGCCTTCTACAAATCAGCAAGAATTTAAAGGCAGAAAACAGTTCTATACAACACTAAAAATTTAGACCTCAGCAGAATGAGAGGGTCTAACTCTTCCTGCAGTGTTTCAAAAGCTAGTTACAAACACTCAGGTAATAGATATTTTGAGCCTCAGTTAAGACTCCTTCCAAACCGAAGTACAGAGGAAAGTAGAAACTGAAGTTCTGAGTAAGATCTGCATTTGCGGAAAGAGCTTTCCATGATGACTTGATTATTTGTCAAGAGTGAAGTTGGGAGCATGGAACGCTGCAGAGGATGGTTGCTGTGAGCTCACAAGAATTCAAGGGGTTAAAAGGGAGTTCTCTTTGTATTTATGTAACTCATACTTCTCTGACAGTGAAACAGGGAACACATGTAGATAGATCAGGTCAATTTGAAAACCTACTGCTCTTGAGTTTAGCAACATAACATTCTTCTTGAGTTACACTAAATCAAAGGATGTGATTTATGGTAGCTTTGAGTTGGATAGTGTTATAGTAACCCTAGATTGTTGTGAAAGATACAGCAGCCAAATCAAAAGCATTTTTCCAGCATGATCAGAGCATTAAGAATGTTTGGGTTTTTTTAAGATTTTAAAGCCATTTTCTGTATCAAATGAATCCGCTCACAACCAGAATTTCTAAAGACTTTCATAGAAATCTTTTTTTTTTTTAAATAGAAAGATTTAAAAATAAAAACCTTGAATGCAATTGGTATTATTTGTGTAGCAAAGCAAATGGCAATTGTCTCATTATATACCAGGTGGAGGGTTTTCTTTCTCAGCTACTTCAATTATACCTAAATTAGTTTGGTTTTTTTAATAAAAATATTTTTTTAATATAATTTTACTGCTATAACCAAACCTGGAAGTCACACACACTTCCTCATTTCCAGGCATGCATCAGAAGTTATGTGTTATTCAAAAGACTTTGCATTGTAAAAATGGTTCCCATGGGTTTAAAAGCACAAGAGTTATGGGTGTAACTGCTTTAGCTCCCAGTAACCTAGTAAGAATAAATGAAAGCAGGGAAACTGCCAGCAAAGCCAAATGTTCCAGATGCCCCATAGCTTTATTTCCCGAGATGGATGTTTTCTAACTGCTACTCACACACAAGCACTTAACAGCAACAGACTTTCTTGCACTGAAAAAGATCCATAGAACAACTGGCAACGTTTACTGGCCAGACTTCAAAGCCTTTTCTCTAATCCTCATTCTCTGCCTTTTATATGACATTTCAGCTGATCTCTTTGAGTTCACAGACATACAGGAGTTAGTAAGACTTTATCATTCCAGGAACTGTAGAGATAACCATTATTATCCCCATCTGCTGGAACACACTGAGTCACTTGACTCTAAGCCACATAACAACCAGAGTGCAAGTTAGAAATTTGGAGTCAGTCTTTCCTAATACTGCTGTACCTCAAGTCTAATTATTGCTCCTTTTCTCTTGATGCCATTTTGAAGGAGCTATAACCCACAATGAAAAAACTGCACAAAGACAACTGAGTGTTTTGGTGACATTCATACCTGACAACTTCTGCCTCTAAAAATAATGTTCAACAGCCAAAAGATGTAAAATGAATACAAACCCTCCATACTAAACATTTTTAAGTCAGCATGTTTACACAATATTAATGATAACAACAATGCATATACTCACCAACAGCAGCTGTGAAGTACTGCTCAATTTCATTGGGGGTGAGTGCCCTCTCCCATATAATGAATTCATCAAATGCCCCATTCACATAGCGCTTGGTCTGATCCCCCTCTGTTCCAGTCAGTAGATTTGCACTGGGGTCTCCGTAATCATAGAAAACTTTCCCATCGGGATCAGTTGTGTTTAGAGTTCCATTGACGTACACTTTCAGTCCTTCCCTTGATTTCCAAGTAAAAAGAATGTGAGTCCAGTAAGGACCTGCAAAACATCAAAAATTGCAGCAAAACCCATGAATCAATTCCACTTAGAGTCTTTCCAGTTCAGTATGTTTTTGCTGACTTGTGCAATGCTATAGAGCTGTATAGGATGTGCTAAGAGTGAATTATGGAATGCTGATGTCATGTATATTAATCTTTATACCCATGGGGAAGCCTATACTTTGGCAGAATGCCTGTTAGCTTTTCTCTCAACTATTTCTTGGGCTCACTGCAGTTTCATAAATTGTACTTGCTAAGTATTATTGGCCAAGATTTAAAGTCCCTTCAATTCTGTCTCAAAACACAGTTCAGCAAGAACAGCATAAAGACTGCTAAAACTGGAGAACAAGAAAATAGATTAACTAAAAACTGTCAGTGTTTCTCTCTTACACTTAGAGGGCCAAAAACATAATGTCAATTTTCACTTGGATTGGATATTCCACAAATACATAAATTATTCTACCATTTAGCTGTTTTTATCTTAAAATAAGATTTCCACACCGATTTATAAAGCTTTAAAAAACTCTGGTACTACAAGGTGAGAAAGTCCTATTTTACCACTGTTCAGGTAGTAAATTAAGGCAAGAAAAGGTTTAGTGATTGTCACTGGCATTACTAGAAGAACAGAATTTATTCCAGTTACAAGGTATTATTGCTCCTCAACAATACACAGGTTAGACAGAAACAGGAAGATATCTGATGTATCAAAGTGATCATTAATACTACACCATGGAACAAAAACTTGACACTCAACAGATGGCAAAATGACCAAAGCACTGAACACCCAATTAGGTAGTTAAATAAAGTCTTAATTGAGGAGGCAGCACAGGACAGCACAAGTATCCAGTTTTAGAATATACCAAGAACTGTCAGGGATTGACTTGGATTCTTCGCACAAGTTTACATCTAAGCAGTCAATCTATTGATGTCAATAACAATTTCACTTCACAAACAACTGAAGTTGGGTCTGGGGACTGTTCCTGAATTGCAAATGTTCTATAATACAGTATCACTGGTTTTTCAGCTCAAACTTTCTCTCTCTGCCCACATCAAGGGAACTTCTAAGCACAGAGCTCTACAGCTACTTCTATATATCCACTTCTCTTCCCTGAAGTTGTGGTCTTACCAATACACCTCTGTGCAGGAATAAAGTCAAACAAAACAACAAATAATTATAAAAATAAAATAAACTTTACCTGGTGGACTAAAGCTTGCTTTCCACTTCATCATTGCATTTCCACGGGTGTAAAATTCCACTGAGCCTTCAGCTTCATTTGAACAGATTTTGAAACCACTGGAAATTACTTGTCCACCAGAGGCAGGGAGAAACTTAGCTTGTTGGTCTTGAGTCTTCCAGAAGAAGGAAAATGTTACTCCTAATGAAAGGAAGCAAGAGATGTTAATGAGAAAACAAATGCAATTACAATTTTCCAGTACTGTAGGATAGAGGAAGTGGGAATGTTTTGGAGGACAGATGATCTGCCAGCATAAACAAGGACAGCATTTTTAAAAATCAACAATGCTATAACAGTTCAAGCCAAATAAACATCTCTTCCTCAATTTTGCATCACATGAGGACATCACTGCTTCCTGACTAGCTTCTATCAGTTAAAACTAAAGCTCTTTGAGCACCGAAAGTAATGAAGTTTTGTTTTGGGTTTCTTTTTTACATACTTATGCTTCCATTCCTTTGGCCTTATCTCTCCAGTCTCCTTACTTTTCTCACCCTGCTGCGATGATCCCCTTTTTCCTCCCGTGATCTTTACATATTTCAAAACACAAGTTGCTCTTGTACCTCCATAGCCTCCACTAGCACCCGCATCTTTTTTTCACATTCACCAAATGCCAAAAGAGCCAGAAATAGTACAATGACTGCTTCCAAGCTACTGATGGGCTAACTGGCTGCCAGCATGCCTATGCTTATTGAGTGGCAACCGTTGCTAATTACACTTTAATTTTTCTAGGCACATTACTACCTGTGTTTTCACACTTCAATGCACCAATAATTGCTGAAAGCAAAGATCCAGTGTAAAAGAAAGGAACAGAAACATCTGCAGAGCCACAGATGAAATTCTGAGGTCCCCACCTACCCAAAATCACAGAATTCTGCCCAAAACACAAGGGCCATCCTGCAAGCGCATGATTAACTTTGACCACAAGTAAACCTGTTCAATTAGCAGTCAAATCTATTATACCATAAAATTTAAGAGCTCTTTGGATTGCACATTAGTAAAAAAATATTATGTTTGTAAGATGGCTTGTTTCTTCAGTAAAGGTTACCTCAAGATGTTTGACTGAAACACAAGTAGCAAATCAAACCTCCTTTGCATTGCACAAGTTCGTAGTAGCTCTGCAGTAGAGCTGCTTCAGTCAAATACAATTAGAAAGAAAATGGCTCAACTAAACAGCTCTGAAAGGGTTCACCAGTTATAGTACAAAGTGCTAATAATAAAATCTGAGTTAAGAGCAGGTTGAGAAAAATCTTATGAAGTAAAGAAGTGGAAGAGGTTTGCCACAAAGAAACACAGTGAATTAAGTTGGCAACAACCCTGAAAATCACCTAAACTGCCTGCTCAAAGCAGTGCCAACTTCAGAGCTAGATCTGACTGCTTAGAGCTCAGCTGTAGATCTGGTTGCTTAGAGCTCAGCTGTGATTTTTATTGTCACTCCACATGCAGATTGCACAGCGTTGCTGTGCAAAATACCCCAATTCTTGGCCACACACGTTGCAAGGAAACATACCTCCTTAGATCTAATCAGCATTTCCTGTGGTACAATGTGCCTATATTGTTACCCATCATGTTTTCATTGTGCATCTCCAAGATTGTTTTAGCTCCATCTGCTTCTATAACCACATAGTTGAAGACAGCCCTTAGTATTCCCCTTTTTTCATGGAGTAAGGAAAAGCTTCAGCCTCTTCTCCCATGTCATACTATCCAGCCCCCTAAGTAATCAGCTGGACTGCATCTTGTCAGCATCTCTTCTGTATCAAGGGTCAAACATGGGAGACAGTACTTCAGTTATCGTCTCATGAGCACTGAACAGAGGGGAATAATCATCTCCTTTAACCTGCTGACTATGCTGTTTGGATCTGTAGTCAAAGTATTTGGATGATTTTATAGTGGGCAGTTCTGCAGGCCCCCAGGCAGTATGAACTTCACCAGTTTGCTACCAGATGGCTCAGCACAAGGTAATGAAGCCCTCAAGCTATTATGTACACTTATTGTTAAAATAACTTTTTTGTTTGTTTGTTTCACAATTATGTGGTTAAAGATGCAAAGGCCTTAAACAGCTCACTACAGTTGTTAGAATTCTTTTCCCCACTACTATCTGGAATGTAAATACTTTTTTATTTCACATTTCTTAGCAGAAAAGTTTAAAATTATATTATCGGAGAATAAATAACTGTAGTATCTTCCGTTTCTAATTGTTCTGTTTATCCTCATGACAGCATCCATCGATTTACAAGATATACATGCTATTCCCTGAACACTTTAAGCATGATAAAATAAGCGCTGTGGAAATGCTAATCAATTATCATTGGCCTCCTAGAAATCAATCAGTGTATGAACATCATCAGTCTCAGTTTGCTAGATCTTGATGGATACGGGCTTAAAGCTTTAAATGTTGTGAACTCCCAACTGAAGAATTTGAGGCTTGTTGTAAGCAAGTTGCAATACCTTCATCAGCAGATAAGCCTGAGTTCATACTTCAGTTTCTTTACCACACGAGTAACAGGTTGAAACGTACTATCATCTTCCACCACCTCAAAAGGCCACCAAAAGTGACCATGTTAATCTATTACTATGAGATTTCTCTGCCAAAGTCTCTTACAATTTTTGTCCTGCATTTCACCACACTTGGGAGATACTCAAGTGCTGGTATGCCTCCTTTACAGGCTGGGAGATGAAGTTAAAATGATGTACGCAGAGATACTAAGTAATAAAGCGTGACTGCAGTAGAGATGGATTCCCAAAATAAAAATTAAAGGCACACAACAAACACACAGTTTTGAAGTGCTATGTTGTGTATATGACCGCTTTTTTAATTTTTCTTTAACTTCCCACATGTTGACCAAATTCAGCTCCTCCTGTGTTCAAACTGACTATTAAGAGAACATTCTCTTGCATCTTTCAAAAATATTTATTTTGACTGAAAATGCCACTTCAATGAGGCCAAAACTGCTCTACAGAAAACCATTGTTTAAAAATTACTCATGAAAGGAGGAAGGCGGGGGAAGAATATTTCAACGTTTGAAAAACAAGAACAATTTGTTTTCTCAATTCAAAATAAAGAGTTCTGAAATATCATGAAATTTAGCCTAGGAAAAAAAAAACGTGATTTTTGTTTCACAGGTTGTAATATTTCATCTGAAAATATCCCGAGATTGTTTCAGAAAGCATACCCTGGTTAAGTGTACTTAACACCACTTTCACACAAATGCCACAAACAAACATCAAAGGATGCTAAAGCAATAGGAGGCTTGAATAAAATTATGTCTTATCATTGCTGCAGGTTTTATTTGATTTGGAGAAAACCAAATACACATTGTTTAGATAAAGGGGTGTTGGCTTAACCCCCCCCTTTTTTTTTTATACTGCTACTGTGATTTAGTATTTATTGTTTATATGATTTCACATTTTATCTGCTGAACATTTCAGTGTTTTATGGGTTTAATGTTCTTGTTAGAGAGATACTGGGAATGCTCTGGTACTATAAAAATAATTTATTGTTATCATTACATTATACTATAGATGTAGAAATAATATGATTTACTGATTATTTGTATTCCCAAGTGGTAAGAAAAAAAAGCTTATGAAAAGATACAGCATGTACCAGAAAAATACCTATGGTAAGACACAATTACTTTTTCCTAATAGTCTCAGGTAACAGCCATGTACCATCAGGTCTGAGCCTGGCATAATTTCTTAAAAAGTTCATAGATGGCTCTTGCGTTAGCAATTAAAATAAATAAATAAATAAATAAATCCTATTTCGGGAGATGGTATCTGTCTTAAGAGTGGCCCAAACCAATAAAAGTGAGAAAATTCAATGTTAACCATACTTTTCAAGCATAAGGGCTGCAGGAGTTTACATACGGAAAGCCACAATTTTCCACTGATCCATTTCTACTGAATGTCAAGTCTCCAGTGAATGTTTTATGCTAGTGACGAGTCGTATATTTGGTTTGACAATCACATAGTTTTAATAAGCTTCTGTAACCAGCACATTTTCAAACCTGTGTCCCCATTCCACCTGCTATTTTGTGACCATAGCCCAAGAAGAAGAAAGGGAAGAGAAAAAAACAATTTTGTTATTTCCAAAGATAAATCTAAAAAAAACCCACAAGCCAAAAAACCACATTCCTGCTAAGAGGCCACACTGAAAAACTGTCTCTTAAAACTAAATTTGAAACCTGTAGGACAACTTCTATTGTTTGTCAAACTGCAGTTCATGTATGATCAAACTTGGTGCCACAGACAAAGGTTTTGGGCACTGAAAGCTTATTTTAGTTTTTGTTTGACTTAATTGCACTGTACATCATTGATCTGAGTAGCTGGTGATTAATTCCAATTTAAACTGCAGCTAGGAAAGACTATTTTCAGCAACACTCAACTGTTTTAAAATTCAATAAAGGAAAGCATCAAGCTAGTAATTTAGAGTTCATTCCAATGAGGAAAGAAGTCACTGAATTACATAAATTGACAGCAAAGGAAATGTTAATAGCAATTAATGAATTTACTAACCTTCAGGTCCACAAACTTCTGGATTACTAATGCAAGAATTTTGATAGCTTCCAAAGAAGAGAAAGGTAACTCCCTTCTTTTCAGTGACGTAAATTCCTTTGTTCACCATTCCTTCTACAATATCTAATGGAAAAGAAAGATATAGTTTAATATTTGTATAAATCAAAACTTCCCAGAAACACAGTTCTAATACATTTGTATACCTCATATGTTTATCCAGTCCCAACTGTAGGTTTACTTCTGTTGGGGGATTTTTTTTTTTGTGGGTTTTTTGTTTTGTTTTGGGTTTTGTTGTTGTTGCTTGACTGGTTTTTCTTCTGTTTTGTTTTTGAGTTTGGTGGGGGTTTATTTCCTGGGCATTTGTAGGGTTTGGGTTTTTTCAAGAACCATACAGATAAGTCTCATTTCATATCTTCCCCTCTTTGAGGAAGAAGTCAACAAGTTTTGCCTCTAACTGAGAGATAAAATTTAGTTTCTTTTAAAAATTTGAGTGTGTATTAGAAAATGAAGCAAACATTTCTTTAGTCACCTGAATTCTAAGTTCATCTAGCCAGATTTACTCCTAAGGTAATGCATGTCTGTTTCCATAGTATTTCCCTTTCCACTGATGTCACTCTTTTTAATGTTATACTGAATATATCTTATTATGCATGAACTATGAAAATGGCCTATATAGCAGATAAGAAAGCAGCGAATGGAATTAGGGTCATTTGAGGTTCATTTTTAATAGAGTTCACATTTGCTAGCACACTTTCACTGTTAGAAAGTAGAAAAATAGTGGGTTTAGCATTCAAATACAAACCTCCAAGAATCTGTGCAGCCCTAATGACAGTTTTATCATTCCATCCTTCTCCTTAGGTCAGATTTTCCAAGAAGTAAAGAAGATGTGAGTTAAAACACAATCATAAAGTGGACGCTTGCACCTACCCAAGTATGAATGCTAGTGACTTAAATTAAATTGCTAAGATTATGCTTGTGTAGCTAATATCCAATCATTGGGTTTCTGCCCTGAGAGTTGTCATTTTCTGTTTTCCTTTTCTCTCCTGGTGTGTTGATGTAAAAAAAAGACAAAAAATATTAAAAGGACGTATCTACCCAGATTGCTTCTTGCCTTAAAAAAAACCCAAAACAAAACAAAACTGATCATGTTAATCAAAGATGTCATGGTTGACAAAATCTTACTTCCTGGCTTTGCAGATTTACTTGTTTTTGTCTTAATGTGTCCTTTAGAAATTACTAAGAAATAGTGAAAAGTAAATGGCTTCTTTTTCCTTCTAACCTTGAAATGCAAGCAATAAGAAAAACAGACCTATTGTTCTTTATGTTCCTCTGAAATGTTATCTCAGTTTATTTTAAGTGTAATACAAGTATTACCAGTTTCAGAGGACCACTGGGGCCCATTCTCCCATGGGCTACTGCTTAGCATGTTAATATCTCTCCCAGAAATTCAGGGTACTTCAGGTAACATTGCAGGAGTGCTTTTTCAATAACAGATGACAATATAAGCATAAACAGACCTTTACCACATGACCATATGAATCAAAACTGTGTTAACTTTGAATCCAATGTTACAAGAACCATCCAACCTTGACAAACGCAGAACAAAAAATATGTAAATCCTCACCTACAGTTGCAGAGAAGTTAGAGTAGGCAGAGTCATTGGTATATACAAAGGTAGAGTTATGGGAAGGAAGCACAGTGAAGTTGTGGATTCTTAGAGCTGGGTGGAACAACAAAAGAAAATAAGCAAATAAGCAAAACAATGAATAAACACAATCAGTAATGAATTGACCAGTTCATATCTCTCAACATACAGATGTTGATCAGTGGCCTTTAAAATTATCATGCAACCACTTCTCCTAAGGACTTGTATACTTTTGAATGTTACATCCTTTAACTACACAAGGTAAATACAGTATCAGTTAAACATTTGTTTTTTTCTCACTGTAAACTGAGAAGGAAAGCTATTAAAAAATACAACTGCTGATGAAGAGCTCTGAAATATGATCCTGTTGGTAAGGAGCTCTGCAATTATACCAAAAAATATTGTACTGGTGCAAAAACTATGGGCAATTTAAGGTCTGGACTCCCAAGTACAAGAGAGACATGCACTTACGGAAGCAAGTCCAGTGGAAGGCTGAGAATGCTGGCACTGCTCAGCCTGGACATGAGAGAGCTCAGGATCTTATCAATGTTTATAAACACACAGTGACACTAAAGATAGTGCCAGACTCTCCTTAGTTATATACAGTGAAGAGATAAGAGGCAATGGGCACATATTAAAATATGAGAAAGCCCATCTAAACATAAGGAAAAAATACCTCAACTGTTTTATATCTGACAATAAAATGTTATTTTCCATTTTTTTTAATTTTGATAATTTAACATTGCCCACTGTAATTATTTACCCTGGGCAGGCAAACAGAGCTTGAGGGAATGCCCATGGAAGTAAACAGACATTGCTGTGGGATTTAAGCCAACTGAGCTTATACAAGGGAAAGGCAAAGGCTCTTAAAGGAAAAAAAAAAAACAAACCATGCTAACACCTCCAGATAAAAAGATGTGGAAAACAAGGGGTCAGATGAGAAACCTGAACACGGTCACATCTTTTTTCGTTTGTTATATTTTAAGTTGATTGTTTCCCTTCAATTGCTTCTACTGCTGAGATGATAAAATTAATTCACTGACACTCACAACACAAATGCTTTGAGAGATATAAATCTGGCTTCACACACAATGACTTCAACAAATAAAATGGATTAACATGATGGACAGATTATGATGCTTCAAGGATTTAAGAGGAGAAACATGGAATGAAAATAACTGCATGATGTGATGAGTGGAAAAACAAGGCAGGCTCTAGCAAAAAACAGAAGAGTTGTGTAATCAGAATGGTATCAAAAACAAGCAAATTGTCACCTGCATTAGATTAAAAACAGAAAACTTTTCCGGTATATCAAAGTCAAATCTCAGACAGATACATAAGAACTCTGCTGGAGGCACCTGAAGTAATAGCTGTGTGTTATAAGACACAATATAAGCAACTGAAGAATTTTAACTATCCAGTATACTAAAGAAAAACTCAACATTATCAGAGTTGCTCTGCAGAGAGTGAGATTTTTTGCTCCTGATATCCTTTGCTAACAATAGTAAGACAAAGTACTCCAAACATTTTTTAGCAAAGTAATACAGCTGGCTCCTTTGTAGTTATTTAACACAATGTCATTATAGCAGTCAAAGGAGATTGCTCATGTGAGCCAGTCCTATTCCTGTAAGTGAAGGTTTGTAGGATCAGGAACTTTCTATGCTCTGCTCTATCTTTTACAAAATACAATTGAAAAGATTTCTGAATTTTGCTGAAGTAATTTAACATAACTTGAAAAATAATCTAACATTAATTGCCAGTTGCTATTGCGCTCTTTCAGACACTTTCAAAAATAACTTTGTTGTAACACAAGTGCTATAACAGTGCTAGATATGGACAGCTTTACTCTTCTTGAAACTACAGTGTCAGAAAAATACTTTAACACACTGTTTGAGAACTCACATGGTAACTTTTTGTAAGCCAAATTATGATTCTACTGAAGTCAAAAGGAATGCTGCCATCAGCTTCTAACGGGAGCAGAATATTGCCCAGATTTATTTCTGGTGAGCCAATTTCATTCCTTTAAGAAGTTTTGTGGTAAGATGGGTCAAAGTCTACGCTTACAACACATGGATCTTTTTCCCTACTTAGGAACAGAGACTGATAGTGCAATTTTTGCATAATAAGTAGCGGTAACTTCACAATTTTCTTAACATCTTTCATGTAAGGTTGTAAAGGTCTCTAACTCCAGATTTAATCTTCTGCATCTTTGAGTGAAGATATTGCAGTAACCAGTAGAAGTACAGCAGCTACCCCTCTCACAAGTACAGAACTGTGCAGCTCTACTGCTAAGGTGGTAGCCGTAGTGTAGAAAATACTGAGGAACATACATCAACCGAACTTGGAACTGACTAAAATGTCAGAGGAGAAAAAGCACTCCATGTGAATAATACTAAGGGACCTTTGAGTCTCAAAAGGAGACAGAGCATACCCGAAAATTTCATCTGAAAGGAATGGCCCTGCAAGCCCATAACACTGCAATCAGATACAGTGGTTTGGTCAAAGTTCCACTAATTACATCACCTGCACATCCCCAGAAAACCTCCACCACCCTTTTTGGTCCTGATGTGAAACATCAGAATGAGAAAACTGCTAAATCCAACCAAACTGCCTTTTAATATCATTCCCTCAGGGATCCTGTGGTCCTGACAACTGACTTTTTCAAATCACTGAGAGTTTTGTCTTACCAAAACTACCTTTATTTTGCTTGACTGGAAAAAAATATTTTGAACTAATGGTGCAATACTGCTTTTAAGGGAATACCCAAAAGCAGACAGAAGTGGGTCAGTATACAGATAAGAACTTACACTTTTCTTTCTGTAGATAGTACATGGAAATTTCAAATTGCAGGAAGAATTTGGGCACTTAACTCCTTCAAAAAAGCAGTAGGCACTTCACTGCCAGCATAGCCAGCTATCTCAGTTACTGAGTGTATTAGCATGTACCAAAGCAACCAATCTCAATGTGATTTCAATGACTCTTTGCATCATAAACCTTCTCTCTCTATAACCTTAACAATGCGTAGACAGCTCATAAAACATCTGAGAATACTCTGTAAAATCAGTTCACATACATTACCATTTGGACACTGGAGCACTACAAAAACGTTAACTGAAAAAAAATAAAAATCTCAACTGCAGTGGTATAAAACCTAACCCCTTTCGTTTCTTCTGATCCCCTTCTACTTACAGACTGCCACAAATACTTATGTTATTGCCACTGTCAACGAATCCTTTATCTACCTCCATTTGTATCCCGAAATTCATGAATTCCATCCACATCTTCCAATGGCCAGTAATGGGAAGCTGATGCGAGAACTTTGAACCCTTTCAAGAAATACAGATGAAAAGGTTATTAAATTAAGAGCCAACAAGGAGCGTAGTCAAATTTGCCACAGAAGAAAGCAATAAGGGAAGTCAATAGTTAACCACAATATTTTATGTCAGTCAAGTACAGCACATAAGCAAGATGATAATTCAAAATGGCAGAGTAGACTAAAACCATCTGATTGATCACTCCAGAAAATCTGGTTTTAAAGCTCAACTGATTTTTATTTTAACTGCACTTAAAATGGGCAACAATCTCTGACTAAATCCCTGTTACTATACTGGATTGCACTTTTTGAAGTAACAGTTAAGTCATTCAAGACTAATCTCAAAACATTACTCATAGTTCTAAACACACCATGGATAGTACAAAGCACTGAGAAAGGAAAGCATGGGAGAATATTTAGCCTTTATAGCATACTACTACAACTCCTGCCTCCTTCATAGGTAACTCAGCTCTCCCTGACTTGAGAAACTGGAGTTCCTAGGAATTTTCATTCCTAAACAATATCTAACAAATGATTCATAATTGATCAGGATCTACTATTGGCCTACCTGACTAGAACTGTTTGAAGTTGTCTTACCACAGATGGTGATGTCTTCAGAGAAACAGATGAGATTCTGTGCCTATACCTTTCCTTTAAATATTTGGAAGACACAGGGAAAGGCATGACTGCTAACAAAAGGAGAAAGGTACTGCCAACATAAGCAAATAGCGACACAGAATAAGCATATACAAAACCCAGACTAAAAGTTCCAGGCAACCCAAACTCAACTAAGCCGAGCATGACAAAGCATGCCAAGGAAACAGGATCTAGGAACAAGGTTTTTTGCATTCCCATAAACTACTTCTGCACACATGCTTAAGTTCTATCTTCAAAAAACATATTCTGACTGCTGCTAAAGGAAGTTATAAATTGCTATGCTATTAAGAGCATCCACATAGCCTACCTGTGCTAACATATCTCCATCTGGCTTTAATCAAACTACTAATTCTACTCCACAGAGAACAGAACATGCCTGCTGTTTCACAGTGCGCTTATATACAAATATCTCTTGTTCCCATTAACATCTTTATGTATCAAAATAGAAAAAGGATTAAAGTCAAGAGAGGTAGTAGAAAAAAAAATACTGAGACAAATAGAAATGAAGAATCCAGGGAGAAAATAATTTGATGCCAAAAAACCTGTCATAACGTGGCACAAGAATTTTATTGTTAGCAGTAGTAGCAGCATAGCGACAAAGCCACAGCTGGCATCAAACTCCTAAGAAGCAGTTCTATTTTAAGGAGCTTACATTTAAAAGGTTGCAAAAATGCGCAAAAATAATTGGAAGGAAAATAGATATGCAGCAAAGTGAATTGCCTAGACCCACATGTCTGTGGCCTTCCCAGCTCCCAGTTCTGAACTGTACAAAGCCACGCTGTTGCCAGACTACCAGCCAATCAGCCTCCTGAAGATCTCCGAAAACAAATACCTGTTCCAAGTATTAGTTGCATTCACGGCAATATCCTTTCAATAGGTAACTATACTGTGTTTAGAACAACCACAGGACCTCTTTACAAGTCTAGCTCCAATTCAGAAAGCATTACACACAAATTAGGTGTTGTGTAACATCCACCTTTAGTGCGGGAAGCTCCCCCCACCACCACCCCCCCCACCCCCCGTTTCATCAGCTAGAAGCCAGTGATCCTCGAGACTGTACTTCTTTGCTTTCCAGTCAAGGCAGAACAAAAGCAACTAATGGGGGTGAAACTACTGTAATAGCAGATAACATAGCTTTGCCACATCGCACTGTATTTCATTTGAAAATAATTACATATGGTTAAAATTTAAAAGCACAAAGCAATACATGCATTGCTAAAGCAGTAAAATTGTACTTGTACACCACCATGAGGCTCGAGGTTAAACTATTTATATAAAACCAGAAGAATTCTGTAGTTACACACAGACACCAAGTAAGCTTTAGGAAAGTTTTTTCTACATTGAAAACATCTGAGAGATCCTTAATATGGTCTATAACCAACTTAAATTAAGGCATGAAGACTAGGAGGAGGGGAGACGACTTGAAGCTACGCAAAACTACAGCAAAGTACACAAGCTGGCATATCTAACTGTAAATCATTGAATTGAAAATGCTGAACTCATTGAGGGGAAAAAGAAAACAGGCTGAGTAGAGGTCTGATTCAAAAAGTCATGCTGAAAGAAAGGACTAAAACATAAACAGTTTATATTTTCTATCTGTCAAATGCAAACCATTTTTCTCCATTCTGCACAGAATTTTCAGAAGGTAAGTTACTGAATTTAAAATGACTGGTACAGTCTGATACTTTAGACTATTACATTTTTTAATATATAGTTGATATTAAATATAGGATCACAGTTTCTTTCGAGCTGCTAAGAAAATTAAAAAATACAAACCAAAAAAGCAAATAAACACGTAAGCACATCATCATAAAATGCAAATAGACCACTCCTTACCTGGGTGTTTGGGTAACTGGGAATAGTTTCCATACACCTGGACATAAAACAGAACATAATGAGACACAGTGAGGCAAAACTTCCTAAGAGGAATCCAAATATATCTCAATACTGACCATATTCAGAACATTACCTGATATTTGTACTGAAATAAAATCAGCAGAGAATAATGACAAGAGAGCAGAGATGATAAGTTCTCCATGGTCTATTTAAGGTTAAAAGTAAAACTGAAATATAAGTTCTATAAGATTTCAATCACAGATTTTCCTTTGCTACTTCTTGTATTAAAAGGTGCATTTTCCATGAAGATTCAAAAAGTCCATTCCTTCAATGATGGCAAAATATCCTTCCAAACCTTTAAGTAGTGTTTGTTTGCTTCACACTTTGTTCTCTTCATTTAACTCTAAATAAATTACTGTGATTGGAGGAAAATTAAAAGAAATGTGCATCAGATCCAAAAGTTGTACTGTTCCATGGAAAGTAGTCAAATATTTCTGTTACAATCTGTGCCAAAAAGAAAAGATCTTGTTTTCAGCTTTCTTCCTATGGTTGCCTTTTCCTTTCAAATTACTTTCACGTTGTCAGAGATCTGAAGCCAGTTTTAGTTTTGCAAGCAAGAAAACATACTTCCTTGTAGCACATACAGCATATAACTCTCACTATTCCTCTGAAACTGAACTGAAAAGAGTTGCTAACTCCTCACTTGTCCCGCTCACGTTTGTACCTCCATCCCAGATCTTTTTGGGTGGAGAGCAAGTCTGAGTGATGTCATACTTTCTCCTCAAACTTTGTCCCATTCTGGTACTCTATTTATATCACGTTGCTGCTGTCTCTTTTCTGGGTCCTAACACCAGCCAGCTAGGAACAAGTGGAAAGAAATCAATGTGCTTCGGCAAACACATAAAAGAGATTACTACTCTTTGCAAGCTGCACACTTAAGAAGAATCAAAGGCACAACAAGTGTGCTTAATTCAAACACTTAAGAAAAACAAAACAGGTTTTGGGCAGGAGATTTTGAAGGAAAGCTAAGATACATGTATTAAAACAAAAGAGTGTATTTCTGCCTAAAGCAGCATAACTTGAAAAAAGTACTGAATTAAACTACATTGCACTCTAAGAGATAATTTTCCTGTATATCAAGAAGGGGAAACTGAGGCATTAAAGATTTCACTGATTTGCTCAAAGCTGAACAATGAAACCAGTAGAACTAGGAAAATATTTCTATAGTTACCACTATTATATATAAAAGATAATTACATTTAAACTATTTTTAAAAGCCTCCCAATTATACTACATCAGAAATATTAGCCATCATTTTGCACAGAAAACAAAAAAAGCAGCTAAAACTTGTGGGTAGTCTTCATTTAATCTGCTCCTTTATGGTAAAATCTTGTTTTCAGTTCCCTCAGAGTTCTATTTTCAGTGAAATAAATTGTAATAGTAGTACTTTTAACAAAAATAGATAAGCTTTCCTTCCCTGTTCATTTCTCCCCTTTTCCTTATCCTCATGAGCAATTTCAAGGTGGTGTAGGCAAGACTAGAAACTAAATATCAGAAACAGACCATGTTAATATTGCAACAGAAATCAAATTATTTTATTTACCTTTGCTTTTGCCAAAAGCTAGGTCAATATATTGGATTTTGTTTTCAGCCCCAGATGCTTACTCATACAGCAAAACATTCTTTGCCTAAAATCAATATACACATAAGCTCCTGGTTATAGGAAAGTGACCACATTTCCTGCTTCCAAGCCTGTCGCTGCCTCTTTATGCCTTATCTTCTGACCATAAGTTACACTCCCTCACTTCCCATCCATTTTGTGACTCTTGGTCCCAACTCTCCAGATATCTCTATCAGCCTCTATTTGCCCAGTTCCTTTACTTAGCTCTATTCCTTAGAGTATATTAGCCCTATTACTTGTCTACTTCATCACAGCTTCTGCACCAAACTCTAGCTGATTTTAACTTTGAGGATGAAACAGTTTTACGATGACATTTTATATAGAAATTATACAGCTGGAAGATCAGCTGGTGGTAGCTGTGCTCCTGACTTACTCAGTTTATCCATACCCTGGATGGATACTGAACTTCCAAAGTTTCTGGTGGTAACTAGCCCCTCGCAAATGACTGGGGAGTACATGGGGCTCCAGGGTCCAAAGACTGAAGAGATAAAAATTAACTGTGGACATTCATGTGGCATATGAATGTTTCAATGTTACCAAAAGTTTAATACTACAAAACCTCTCTGCTGAAAGAAAAAAAAGCTTAACTTTTTATTTTGTAACTCAGATTTTATCTGCAACAAAATAATTTTGAACGTTTTGAATTTCAGTTCCTTCAAAAATTTAGTTTCCCCATGTAGTTTAAACCAGTCTGACTTTTGTTCATTTCTCTGTAAGGGTTTTTTGTTTGTTTTTTTGACTCCCTCTCTAATTACTGTTAGCCACAAACTCTTCTATATCCTGAAGGAAAAGGAGGAATTCTGAGTAAATCCAAGGAATTCTATTTCATGTAATGACAAATAGAGACACCCTTAGAAATAATAGAGCTGCAGCTAAAAAATCCTGAAAAAAGCTAAAATGTAGAAAGACAGGAATTTGAAATATTTGCCAAGAGAGGCCTGTCTAGGGAAAGAATATGCTTACCAAAACAATTGTGAGAATCCAAGCAAACATGTACACTGCCAAAAATTTCTGTGGAAACAGCAAATTGCAAGCAGACATCGGAAATTATCTGCAGAAACAAATTCTGAATGTATTCCTGTGATCCTCTGGAAACCTGATCTGAAAAGTCACACTGCTTCCACCACAGACCAGAGGCAGCACCGGGCATCTGGCACACAAGGAGTAACTGATTCAACAATCAGAGAACCTGCAGATGAAATAATGTTCATTTAAAGTACTTACGTGTCAATAAAAGCACAAAGGTCTGCATATGCTGGGTAACTGGGCAGCCCACACTAAGCCTGCTGGATAGGTTTCTTCCCAGCACAGCTCTCCCACCAGATGTTCTGGGGCCCTGTTAAAGGGGTTAGAGCTGTGCCCCATGTTACAGTGCTGGGGGTCCATTAAAGCCTGTAGATTTTCTGTCCCACTTAAGTAGAGAGCAGCAGAAAGGCCAGGGAGGAGACATACTGCAGCTCAGACATTTGCTAACAGGTAGAATGAGCTCCCTATACAGAACAGAAAGCCTGGTGATCTATAACAACAACCACAGGCTTGCAAACGGCACTGGGAAATGATGTGCCCCAGGTTTCTCTCCACACCCCCTTTTCCTCCCCTTACCTTTTATTTTTTGGAAAATGGGAGCCTTCCAAAGACAAAGGATTAATAGAAAAGAAGCTCCGTTGTTACATATTGGTGATGCTGGTTGCAACACTTCAGAGCAACGTGACTGTGACCTATCATGCAATAATTAAACTCTTCAGCTCCATTTTCAGCTTTCCTTGTTCACTTCGTGTTCACTCAGAATGACAATAATACATTATTGAAACAGAAAAATCAGCAAATGCAGTACCTGACATTTGTCAGGAAATGAATAATAACCTGAAGTTAAAAATCTTTATGTAAATCACAAGGGAGAATAATCCTATAAAGACTGCTTTATACTAGAGAAGACAATCTGTAATACCGCTTTCTTCCTTTGTTTTCATTGGAATCATTAACTTTCCACAAGAGAGCTGGTGCTTAATTGGGACTGAAATGTTTTAACAAACATCTTAGGCATTATTTTAAGAATAACCACTAGCTAGATTTTGTAAAACTTATCTAACATCAGAGTCTGTACTAATAAACTAATAAATATTCTGGATTCAAATGACTCCCTGATCAATCTGTTTCTCTGTCAGTAATGGACAGTATTAATATGGTGGATACAGCTGATATATCAACATTCATCCACTTAAATTCAAAACTTTAGTGCTGAGTTTTCTAGCTTGTTACGAACATCCAAGGTAAGTAGTTACAGAATTGATATAATTTGCTTACACAAAACCCCTCATAATTTTATACACTAATTTAGCTAACCTTTGCTACAGAGAACATCCTTCTACCAACTCTCTTTACTCAGATGTACGTAGGTGCAAATTGACTAGATTTGTACAACTGCAAGGAACCAGAATAAGATTCTGTACTAAGCTTGCCACCTTGTCAATGCACACCTTTACAGCAGCAGTTATTTTTGTGATAAGTTATTTATTCACAGACCTCTAAAGCAGACACAGGTTCATAGATTAAGGGCTCACCTCTAACAGTTTGTTACCTTTTCCTTATACCATCTTACCCCAATATAGATTTGTGAGTCCATTCCAAGGAAGACATTTGATAACCAAATGGATTATTAAAACAAACAAACAAACAAACCAACCAACCCAACCCCATTCATTCTTACAAAGTTGGTCTTGATAAGACTGTACCAATGGGAAGGTTTTGCACTAGCTCTCAGACCAAGTTTGACATATTCACTACCAAAGCAGCACACTGGACCTGTATTTAGAAACTCTTGCAGTATTAACACTCAACAAGGTTGACTCAGCGAAGTTTTCTCCCTCTAGCTACTGTACAAGGACAAACAATACAGGATGAAGATGCTGCCCCTGCTAACTGCACTCCCATGATCTGATATGAAAACCAGCTGTGTCAGTCACCTGCCTTGCCACTTGTGTGTGCATGCCTGTCCCACAGCCTCTGCTGTCTCTGGATTGTGTAGTCACCTTCCTAAACTGGGGACTGTGGCCACAGCTGCTACACTGGCTTTCCCCCCCATTTCTAAGGCTTAACTGCCTGCAAGCAAAGCCACTTCACCACAGCCGAGACTTAAACACTGATTACTAAGACAGCATGGTCTACCACACCAAGAATCTGATTAGTTTTGGTTGCTACATTATGCAAACGCTTGCTACAGTTTTACTTTTATTGCTCTTTGCACTATTCAGTTCATTGAACTACAAAACTACTTATTTTTGCATTGAGGCCCAAGATGAATTTCATCTTAACGTCCTATCAACCTGTTTTTACACAATCTATTAAAAGGATGTTGGGTTCGGAGGAATTGGGTGTTCTTTTGTGAGTTTGGCTTTTAATCAGAAATGAACTCATAGATCTAAAGTTCCCTGGAAAGAGCCACCATTTCTTAAGTTTGTATGCTGCCTAGAGCAGTAACAGTCTCTTCTGGGTCTCAAACCTAGGTACAACAACTGTCAAAATAATAAACTCACTACATAAATGCAGGTTAAGAACAAGATGACTAAGGCCGTTCTTGAGGGGGAAAAAATAAAAACTTTTGTGTGCTTGGGTGTGGGGACAGGGTCACCAGCAAACCAGGAGTCAAGAGTGAGAAGCTACAAAGTACAGAGGGACTTGATCATGTGTAAAGAGCCAAATTTGATTTTCCACACTCAGCAAAGAGGAGTAAGAGGTAGCAAAGCTTGGTGTTGGTGTAGAACATCACAGGAGTTAATGAGAGAAAGGGCTGCTCAATCTCCATTACTGGATGTATTGAAGGACAGACTAGACAAACACTTGTCAACTATGAAAACAGTCTTACCCTGCAGCAGAAGGATGAGCTAGATTATTTTTTCAGTCCCATCCATTTGCATTTTGCTATGACATCATGGATATAATTCTCATTTTTTCCTCATAATCAGTTTCAACTTTGGCTAGTATCAACACTAATACTTTCAATGCAAATCCTGAAATATAGATTTGAATTCTCAATACATAGCCAACAAAGCTCCTCCATGCATTATAAAGAACAACTTTAATTAAAAAGAGAATAAAAGCAAGACTTTCTAGATCTTATGGGAAACAATTATGCATGATTTTGTACAGACTATAAAAGCTACTACTGCCTTTGAGAGAATGCATGCTATGGGAGGGACATGGAAGCTTTACTAGCATGGGAAACAGTTATGAATATACAGATTTTATTAGCCTTACAGTACTGCTGTGATTAACAGGCTTATTCTTGATGAAGTGCAGCTCCT